AAATATCACAAAAAAATATTCATGAATTAATTAATTACATAAMATATGTTATTTCAATGTTTTATTTGTACAAAATAACAATACATTTAAAGTAATATAGTMTGGTTTTAATTGTAATTTACTTAATCACAACAAATATARTATTTAAATATAAATTAGCATTACTTATAATATATTTTATACAAATTAAACAATTATTACAATACAATAAGTTTTAGATTTATCACAATATAATTAATAAATTGCATCATTATCGTCCAGACCATCATCATCATCATCATACCCCTCGCCATTATCAAAATAGTTTTTATTGTAATCTGTACCATCATCTAATTCGTCATCCAAATCACTTTCAAATTCTTCCTCAATATCTTTAGGCGGCTCATCTTTTTCTTCATCTTCTTTCTTTTTTGGTTCTTCACTGTCTTCAACATCAATGTCTTCTTCTTCATCAAGTTCTTTGGCAATACTTTCATTAATTAAAAGTGATGTAGTAGGATTATCAGTTTTCGCTTTTTTTTTGTTTGCAGGACAAAGAAAATCATCAATTTTATTTTTTTTAGCAGAAACAACTTCTTGCAGTGATAAATAATCATGATTAATTATCTCAGATTTTAACTTTTCCATCCATTGTTTATCACTTAATGGTTTTTCATCCTGTAAACTTTTTTTTTTTTTTGGTAACAGAGATGGTGGAAAGTAGTTATGATTTTCTATAGATTTGAGGTATGACCAAGGGCTTGTAAACTCTTCTTTTGAAATAAATGATGCAGCATTATTAAAATGTTTGGCTAATTTCTTTTCAAAAGATATCAGATCATCATCTTCACTATCTTCATCAATCTCAGTAACTGTAGCCCGCAAAGGTGGAAAGAGTTCTGGGGCTTTAAAATCAAGTGGGTCATCTGTTTCTAATCTGTCGGGACCAATGGATATATGTGGACGACCAATATTATTACCACCTCCTCGTCCTCCTCCCCTCTTTCCTCTCGATGATCCAGCCATTAAACTAACACTTTTCTAAGCTTTTAGTTGTAGTTGATATGATTTGTTTATGAGGCAAAGTTTCCTGGTAAAAAAAAAGAAGCAATTTGTGCATAAACATATGTAAATTAATTCATACTATRATTAATAAGATTGTAAAATTGAGTTAAATATTGATTCCTATTAGGTTATATTGAGGCTACTGACAAATTTATCATTTGCACCGGAGGGACAAAATTGCTTCAAAAATTAAAATCTAT